AAAATGACAGGTGCTTTTGAACGTGTTAATTTTAAATAATGGCAGTGAAGAAAATCAGCCATGCCAAATCTGCTTGTGGGCCAAAATTTAACCATTGTTTTACAGGAACGATAGTTCAACTATGGTAGCCTATTTGCATTAAAATCTGCCAAAAAGTTACTGTGGTAGTAACACATGGCTGCTAGACCAAATCAGTTTCTCACTTCTCCTTGAATTATGTCTAATTTGATTATTTTCCCTCGGACTGAGTAGTGTTATCATATAGTTAGCCTACTACAGGTATTGCGCTGATGCATATTGTAGGCCTACTGCTTATATGATTATAGTCCATTAGGTTAGGACTCGACCCCGCACCTGAGACAATATATAAGTGAAAGTAAAATGAAAGTGAAAGGAAGCGTTCAGTCTGCCGCATCTCCCGAACAGCAGCGTCCGTCAGCAATAATAACTGCGATCATTTAAGCCAGCAGATATGATCGTTTTGTTTAATTTCGCATTTTTGAAAATGCATCCACCGAACTGTGTTTGGATGTCAGTTCTGCTGATGATCGCTGATGGAAAGTATGATCTCCTTCACAGTTAATCAGGGGCGACAGGTGTGTATAGGGTGGAGCACCATCTTTAGCTCACCTTAAGTATTATAGATTGAATTTTGAATGCAGTTGTTGTTTTGTTTAAAAAAGGTGATTTACGTAGGCATTATTTCACCATATCAACACACATACAGAGAGGATAGCCTAATACACAAGCGCAATTGTTTTCCGTGTAGTGCTGGGAGGAGCCCACAGTAGTATAAAAGCACCCATCATTAAGATGATCCCGCAAAACCGATAAAAACGACAAAACGACAAAATTCACATTTACATTTTTTATTAGCTACTTAAGGCGGGGTGTATAAGCGATTGCTTTTTAAAAAGGCAGATTTACAGGGTTTCTTGTTGACTTGAGGTTGCATCATGTGCTGACACTATTGGGGACGAATCCCATGGAACCTGTTGTATGAAGCATGTGTAAAATCATGCAAATCTGATTGGCTGACGACAGTCATATGTTGTTACATGATGTCACCTTTTATACTCAGATGGGTCTGCTTGTTATCCAGAGTTGCTTCTCCCCTCTAGTAATCCTTAGGAGTAGAGATAGGTGAAGTTGTATGTAGATTTCCACTCTCTAAAAAAATGCTGGGTTAAATATGGACAAACCCAACGATTGGGTTGTTTTCAACCAACGGGTTAAATGTTTAACCCAACCTTCTGGGCAGTAACCCAACTGCTGGGTCAAAACAACCCAATAGCTGGGTTTGTCCATAGGCCTATTTTACCCAGCATCACTCTCTCACCTGTAGTCCTCAATTTGGTATTAATGCCAGACTGTATCAAGCTATCGATACCAGTATGTAACCTGAGACGTTTTTCGTTCATTTAATAGTTTTGATTTTTTTTTATTATTTCTGTATTTTATTCTTTGTTGTTTAACAAGGACTCATTTTGCAATTATCATTTCACCATAATGGAGTAACTACTTTATTTTTCTGTTAAAATTCAGCCAAGAGCATCATAAGGTAAGACTTGGTTTAGTTGTTGCAAAACTTATATACTTAATTTACTTTGTATTCTGCATTTGATGCTTTCCTTATCCTATATATTTGTTATATAGGCTGCTAAAGTTCTGACCAGTAAAACTTTCTATTCTATTCTATTCTATTCTATTCTATTCTATTAGCAGATTTAATGCTGATTTACTACACTTTTATCTTTGATCTGTTATTCTGTGCTTAATCTGGACACATACAGCATTTGATAATGTAATTGACCTAATGTGATTAAAAGTGTCATAAATAATTATTTTAGCTTTACATTTTTGCTTATGCAGAACATTATTTGATGTGGTCACATTATATTGTAAGATTGGATGGGGTCATCCGAACATGTCACATCTTGACATTTAGTGAACTGACTTCACTGCAGTTTGTATGGCAAATCATGTGTTCATTGAATAAATGAAGTAATTAAAGTTTTAATGATTTTGAATATTTTACAGCAGAAAAAAAAATCATTTCCTTTTTAATCGTTATATTATGAATAGATTATTTATTTATTTATTTATTTATTCACTTTATAGGGTTCTCTGTGCACGGTCCCTCAGGTCCTCTGGTTGCTACTCTGGGATCTTCAGTGGTTTTGCCCTGTTATGTTGATGAACTCTTATCGATGGAGGGTCTGGAGGTGGAATGGAGAAGAACAGACTCAGAGACTCTGGTTCATCTGTATCAAGATGGTGAGAGTCGAGCAGAGTCCCAGCAGCAGGATTATCATGATAGAGCTCATTTCTTTACTGATCAGATTCAACATGGAAACTTCTCCCTCCGTCTGGACAATCTGAGAGCTCAAGATGAGGGACGATACACCTGTAAAGTTTACAGTCAGCAGGAATCTGGTGAAACTGTGGTTGAAATAAAATATGTTGGTGAGTGTGAATCACATGAATACCTCCCACCATTTTCAATATGATTTTCCAAAACGTTTTAATCCTGGACATACATTTCCTACTGTGACATTGTTTGTCTTTCAGAGCATTTGCTAGTATCAGGATCAGATGAGTCCATATCTGCGTCTGTGGGTGAGGACGTCACTCTGAACTGCTCTGTAGACTCTCACATCACACCTGAACACATTGAAGAGGTTTCATGGAGGAAAACTGATAAAGATGAAGATATTCTGGTTCTGCTCTACCAAAACGACTGGGTGAGTATTTGATAAGTAAATAAATAAATACACAATAACTGGAGCCTAAATTTGCACAAATAAACCATATTTACTTTTCAGGGCAATATCAAGCACAATGTACCCCATAACTCTTGTAATCAGTAACTAATGTCTGTGTTTAATAGGTTTCTCTGTTTCACACATAATGGTGTTGATTCTCTGTATTTCTGCATCTGGATGTGCACTTGTGCTCTGCTGCCTGATCTACTGCAGATCAGCATATGAAGGTATACATATTATCACTTGCTGTAGTTCATTTGAAACTTCAAAGCTGTCTAGCTTATATACAGTGGGTACGGAAAGTATTCAAACCCCCTTACATTTTTCACTCTTTGTTATATTGCAGCCATTTGCTAAAATCATTTAAGTTAATTTTTTTCCCTCATTAATGTACACACAGCACCCCATTTTGACAGAAAAACACAGAATTGTTGACATTTTTGCTTTATTTATTTATTTTTCATTTTTAGGGTTCATTCAACCATTTGTTCCTCTGGGAGCTTCAGCAATTTTGCCCTGTTATGTTGATGAACTCTTATCGATGGAGGGTCTGAAGGTGGAATGGAGAAGAACAGACTCAGAGACTCTGGTTCATCTGTATCAAGATGGTGAGAGTCGATCGCAGCAGGGTTATCTTGATAGAGCTCACTTCTTTAGTGATCCGATTCAACATGGAAACTTCTCCCTCCGTCTGGACAATCTGAGAGCTCAAGATGAGGGAGAATATACATGTACCGTTTACAGTCAGCAGGACCATTTATTTTCAACTAAAATCATTTTGGAAATGGGTAAGTGAATAGATACATTTATAACTGTTACTAGTAAGAATTGAATTAGAAAGCTCTCTAATTGGCATTGTTACAAGTGATAATTTAATTGTAGAGCTCTCTTATTGAATTGTTACTAGTAAAAATACAATTATGACGAGTAACGTTGGGAATATTTTAAGCTAAAACGGCTTGCCATAGGCGGCTGCAGTGAGGGGAGGAGTGAAATAAGTGCAAGCAAGACAGACAGTTCTGCCCTCTCGAAGCACAACAGATACCTACGAGATCAAAGGCGGATATTGCGTTATTCTCACTCATGCGCCCACTTTTTTGCGTTTTTTAAAACCGTGGTGAGAACTAACTGAAACAGGGGGTTTCATGACCCTTTAAAGTTTTAATACAGTGTACGGCAACCGCACATGCATCCATGTATAACTCTTTTTATAGCTATGTGAAAATAAGTGTATAAATGGAACAGTTCATTGTTGGAGCTGAGCTGAATGAGAGAGAGAGAGAGAGATGCAGAGCAGGGGGACACGAGGAACAGAATTAAGAACCGCTGTTTTAGAACATTGATTTTGAAACTTGTGAATCCATTAGAATCATTAGAAGACAGAATCGTGATTCATATATGAATAGATTTTTTCGTGCATGCCTAGTTTTCTTCCTCTTCTCTAAAGCAGCACAACATGGCCTCGCCCCCTTTGCTGCATGTTCCCGAGGGCGGGGTTTATCTGGGTTTGTGACATCACGAACCCGTGAAGTAACTCGTTGTAGTCCTTACAAGCCATTTTTGTAGGCATTAAACTGCCATAATGTTAAAAGACGATATCTCAGTTTGCATTGAACTTTCAGCGTTGTAACTTTGCAGATATTGTTTATGCTCAAACAGCAACATTACACACTAACTAACTAACTTTTCAAAAAAGTGAAATCGCAATCAACCACCCCTTTAAAAACTGTGCAGCTTTATTTAAACCAACAAATGACACTTGCTTTGTTTAATCTACTGACATTTAGGCATTTTTAAAAGTGACTTAAGTGTCCAGATACTCTTTGTGGCTGCGATACTTGTTCAGTTTGAAAGAACAACAAAAATAGAAGAAATATACATTATCAGCAATGCCACAAAAATGATCCTTTATAATAGCTAAACAACAAATAATAAAAAGTAATTATTATATAATGATTATAGAACATTTAAGCTGTTGACAGGTTAAAGCTTTTATTAACTTTTATTGAATTGTCCTTGTTTTTCTTTCTCTCTAGGCGATTATCACTCTTTGCTTTTTCAAGGTAAGTGAAAAATAAAAGAAAACTGAGCCTAACCTGTACATGATTATCATTTGGTTGATTATGTCTAGTATGTGCCACTGCTCCACAAATTCACTCTCTTTCCATTCCCTGATAATAAAGTAATGCTTTAGACGTACACCAAGACTTTTTAGGTCATGTAGAATCAGCTATCTGTGATCCATTTAATTTGTCTTTCATTGCTGCAGCGCACTGTTTTCCTGCGAACTGACAACCCGGAATGTATATCAACTATAAATGTATGTTTTAATGTGGCATATAGTACAGTGAGTTTTTACAGCAATTAGCAGATTTTTTTCTAAATGTCCAACAGCAGTTTATGTTTCTGCTGCTCTGTTGTGACTCTTGTTTTCACTTTATTATCAGAAGTTTGACCCAAATGTCCAAATTACTGATTTGTAAAATGTTGGAAACTGTTCATTTAGAGTGTTTGTTATATACAGAAAATGCATTATGCAGAAATACAGGGATTTTGCCTTGTCTCTAGACACAATGGTTCATCTTCATGTACAAAATGGCATTCAACCTTTAACAGAATTTCATATTATGAACAAAATGTCTTTTCAGTTTCTGGGCTCACTGTGTGCAATCCTTCTGGCCCAGCAGTTGTTCGTCTGGGATCTTCTGGGATTCTGCCCTGTTATGTTAACAAACGTTTATTAGAGCAAATTTGGAAGGTGGAATGGAGAAGAACAGACTCAGAGACTCTGGTTCATCTGTATCAAGATGGTGAGAGTCGACCAGAGTCCCAGCAGCAGGATTATCATGATAGAGCTCATTTCTTTACTGATCAGATTCAACATGGAAACTTCTCCCTCCGTCTGGACAATCTGACAGCTCAAGATGAGGGACGATACACCTGTAAAGTTTACAGACAGGAGGATTCTGTGTCCTTAGCCAAGATGAATTTGGAACTGCGTCTACTTGGTAAGTCAACCTATACAAAATTGTTTTGTGTGTGTCGGAATGAATTCAGCGATTCACACTTTATGTCCTGTATCATTTTAACCTTTGGGTTTGTGTGTTTGCATGTCTGTGCCAACACATGCCACTGAAATGGCTGTGGCCTCTAGGCTATTGTAGACAAATGAACTACAGTAGTAAACCAAAAAGCTATTACTGTCACAAGGCCGTGGTGGTAAATATAACCTAGTCACAAGTGACACGTTCACTAAATCACCACCAAGTGGCACAAAGGAATGGTTGACACCAATAGCCACTTTTCCACTGCCGGGCCAGTGTGAGCCAGGGCTAACAACAACCTGCCCTTAACATGCCTCCCTTCACTTTAAGTGACTTCACTTTAAATAATTATACATATTAGTTTGATTGCATCACTAATGTGCACTTCTGACACAAATATTTTTTTTTATTGTAAATCATTGGCATGCAGGCAAAAATATTGATGCTGGAGTCTTTCTAAAGTCTTCATGTAAGGACCAAACGTCTGCTTCTGTCATGTTCGTTACATAAGAGAACACACTTGTTCAGTTGTGGCTGCTCCATTTATTTGTGATCACGGAAATGCACAAAACAACTCCATTGGTCCATTTAAGTCAAAAGGCGAGCACAATAGGAAAATACTGATAAACCCTCATAAAATGTTTGCGTCAAATTTATTTAAAAAGAATGAGCATTTATGTTAATATTCCACAAAATAATATAATCTGAGGATGTTTGAGCACTGTCTCTCGTCTTACTATACTGTTATCCTTTTAGCCAAAGCAGCAAAGCAATTTATATGCCAATGGTTAGCATACGTAGCCTTTAGCATCACATATAATACATTTCTGCCGCATACGATGAATGGAATTTCCATCGGATAGCAAAAGTTATTTCAGATGCTTGCTGTTTTAAATGTTTAAAATGCTGATGTCAGCTGGTGTCTTGATGTGAAAACATGGGGAATGAACAACGGTGCCGACAGTCTCCTAACTCAGATAAACTTGGTCTTTGTTCATGACATGGGGCTTTGGTCCTCAAGCCCCAGTTGGCCCGCTTTGGACCAAGGTAATCGGCGGGCCGAAAATGCCTGGCCAATGGCCCCGAGGAAGCCCCAACGAGGCACAATCAAGCCCCAGAAGTGAGAGTGGAAACACGACTATCATGCATTTTGGCCCGACAGTGAAAGATCGCTTCATTTGGAAAGCGTCTGCTGTGACATCTTTAAGACATCAGTTTTACATACATTCTAAATCATAAACATCTTAAAGATGTCTTCTAAACATCTATTTGACATTGATTGGAAACGTCTCAGACTAAACGCACTAAATTTGCTTCTGTGAATATGAATTATTTTAACTACAGTGTTTGCTTAAGTTATCTGCTGGCTGCAACTGTCAAATCTAGCCTATTGGCAAGGCAAAGTTGACTGCTACTTGTGAAAATGTTATTTGATGCGCTCGACTGAGAACTTGTAGAAGTCTGTGGTTTAAACAGCAAGAAAAAAGGTTGAGTAAACTCTGGTACTGTAAAAATAACCACAATGTTTCTGGATCTGCACTGCTGCTCTGCCTACAGAAATATAGTTAAATGTATGTGAGGTTTAAGACGTTACCTGAAAAGTATCTGAAGTAAGGAAAAAGTTACATTAACATTCATTTTTGGCTTTTATTATTACATATCTAAAATTATTATTACATGTTTCATTCAGACATAATTTTGTATTTTCTCTCTAGATTCATTTTTCCATCTTCAGATGTTTCTAGTCGTCTGTCCAAATATCATCATGTTCTTTGCTTTTGCCTTGTGGGGTGTTTCTGAAGGTGAGTGTTTCTAATTACTATATGAAGAGTTTATTTGCAAAACCAGATAACTCCGTTTTTTTTTAATGTTCAAAAATCATGTTTTTTTATTATGTTATCATGCTTTTATTGTGTTTCATTGTGTTAGTTATCTTTTTTTAAAGTTATTTTTACTTAATCAAAATAACCCAACAGCAGTTTGATTGAGATTAATTGGAATGCATAATGAAAAAAACATGATATTTGAAAATGGTTAAAAACGGAAACAATTAGCATTAAGTTGCATATGAACTCTTCATATGATAATATAAATAATATAGCTACTTAATTACAAGAAGTGTGCTCTTGTTTGTAATAAGAAAAAAGCTTTCATTGTGTTGCAATGATCATAATCACACTCTTTCAGCCATACACCGTATGCGTTTGTATATCATTGAATTCATGATATCTGTTTTTTGTTTCAGGATCTGTGAATGAGTCAATTTGTTGCTGTACTCTTTATTTTCTGAGGCCTCTCATTTTACTCTGGGCTTTTCCATATGTGAATGAGTTCACAGGTATAATTAATTTGATCTGTTTATTAGAGGAGGTCAGAAAACTAATTATAATGTCCAAAATATTAATTGTGCGAGTGATTTACCAAAAGAAAATTGATTAAAACTTTCATTAAATATTGTTTTAGTGGCATTTGTGTTTCTGTATGTTGATGTTGTGTGTGATACTGTGATTCTAATCATTAAATACTTTTTCATTTACAGGCAACATTAAAACATGGATTCTGAAATACAGTTATTTAGCAGAATATTTAGTTCTCTCAGTTGTTGTTTATTCAGGTATGCGAATAAAAATGTCAATCAACTGCAATAAAAAAATGTTTTATTATGCAGCAAATCTGAAACAATAACATGACAAATCACAACATGCAGAAATATTAAGCAGTTCTACATGATACATGATTTATTAGTATGACAGATCCTGTGTGTTAAATGCTGAATCTCTATATGTTTATAGTACTGAATCACTTTTATGATCTTTTAATAACAGTTTGCATAAACTCAACTTAATTTGAAACTAAACTAAATCCACCACTAAAGCAATCCTCAGCATGATTTGTGGTCATGACACACATTTCATTTTAGCAGCACAAAGGTCACGGCATCAATATTAGAAATGGGCTGAAAATAAACCACTGAACCTCAGATTATAACAGAGACTATCCAGTGTAAATTATAATAAAGCAAGATGATTTTGAAACACCCACCTACTCCCATTATAAAGCTTGGAAGAGCAAGGAAAATTTTTAATATAACTCCGATTGGATTCGTCTGAAACAGAAAGTCATATTCACCTAGGATGCCTTGAGGGTGAGAAAAACATGGGCTAATTTTCATTTTTTGCGTGAACTAACCCTTTAATATGATTACTCTCCTGTTTTTTAGGATTCATCATTGTTGTCATTTTACCAGTGTTACTGATGATGACAAATGACAGATGTTTTTTCAGATGGTTTGATAGACTCATGTGTAAGTATCTGATGAATTGTGATATGATCTCTGTTGAACTGCATCAGTTTTATTGATAATCAGTGTTGAGAAAAACATGTTACAGTGGTCTGATGATTTATTCACTGTAATAAAGTGACAGTTTTATCTTTAAATCCTGCCTTTTCTGACCTTTATTTAAACACAAATGCAGACACACAAACATATCAGTACAGCTTCATTTTCAGGATAGATTTTGGCATGTCATCAAATATTCAGAATGTAGTTATTAATATGTTGTTTATTTACAGTTTTTGAGTAACTTCACCATCACTGATGATCAGATGAATAAATGAATAATCATTCACACATCTGCCAATAACAGACCATCTCTCTATCTTTGATGGTTTGAGTTTAATCTCAAGGAGAAATCTCCAGAGAAAAAGCAAACCAGTTTAGATGTTGCTCTGTTTTCTGATATCTGTGTTTTTTTATTCAGTCAGTTTTAACCACTGATCATCTCTGTTTCTGTCAGTATGAAAGTGTTATTCATCAAAGCATTCTCACACTCTCATCTTTTTCAGGTTCACTTTCAGTCAGAAGAACAGTGATGTTAATCATCATAATAGTGATTATTGCAACGATGATCTGCCTTTACATAATTACACTGGAAAATAAAACAGGTACAGTAACATAAAAAAATGCTTGGAATGACAGCACATCATTGATCTAGCAAATACAGGTTTATCTTTATAGTAGTTCTGTCAAACGATTAATTGCGATTAATCGCATCCAAAATAAACGTTTTTGTTTACATAATATATCTGTGTGTACTGTGTATATTTATTATGTATATATAAATACACACACATGCATGTATATATTTAAGAAAAATATGTTATGCTTATATATTAAATATATTTATATATAATATAAAATATAATATAAATATATAAATGAATATACATGTAAATATTTTCAAAATATATACTGTAAATGTGTGTATTTATATATACTGTACATAATAAATAAACAGTACACATATATTACGTAAACAAAAACTTTTATTTGGGATGCGATTAATCGCAATTAATCGGTTGACAGCACTACTTTATAGGTTTATCTTTATAATTGTTTTCATGCTGAAGTTCATTAGTTTTTCTTGACCACTGAGCAACAAATCGATCTGACAGTTATAAGTTTAATGGTACACAGCATGTGATACAATATTTACTGCACACAAGTTTCTCTCATCTAAAAGCCCTGTAGATTACTTTACAGTTTCTTTGGCAAATCTTGTGTGTGTGATTTCTTCTCTATAACTGTGAATGAAAGATGAGACTGTGAAATGGCTCAGATTCTTCCGAAGTCATTGATTCCCTCATGGTCATTGCATGAACAAGAACATGGTCAGCTAATGTTGTTCATATTTGATCAGAAACTAATGTTCTTTGCTCTTCCTCTTCCTCTTTGTCTCCCACTTCTTTTAGCTCTTTCACCATTAATAGGGTCCAAAGCACATAATCACCATAATCATAAAAATAGTTTTGCAGAAAACAGTGAGAAAATTGAAGACCAGCTGAACCAGTTACTAGATCAACACATTTGAACATGTTCATTCTTCTCTAATGCCATTTTAAAACACTCATTATTCACTGAGACTGATATTCATAAGGATTTGCTGCAATTAGCTGTTAATCTGTTGTTTTATAATATCCAACATTAAAGGGTTAGTTCACCCAAAAATGAAAATTAACCCATGCTTTACTTACCCTCAAGGCATCCCAGGTGTATATGACTTTCTTCTTTCAGACAAATCCATTTGGAGTAATATAAAACATTTTCCTTGCTCTTCCAAGCGTTAGAAAGGGAGTAGGTGGGTGTTTTTGTTCAACAGTCCAAACATAGTCAAATAAAGCACGCACATCCATAATAAAACGTGCCTCACGCAGCTCCGGGGCATGAATAAAGGCCTTCTGTAGCGAATCGATGCATTTTTGTCAGAAAAATATCCATATTTAAACGTTATAAACACTTTTCTCTCACTTCCGGTATCTGACGTGTGCGGAAGCCGTTCTGGCGGATGACGTAGGACGTATGCGTCGTGCGCGCGCGCCTCTGAGATATGCTAGTCTCACGAGTTTGTTTGCAGGAGCAAAGGAAGCAAAGAATGCGCTTTATTTGACTATGTTTGGACTGTTGAACAGAAACACCCACCTACTCCCTTTCTAAAGCTTGGAAGAGCAAGGAAAATTTTTAATATGACTCCGATTGGATTCGTCTGAAACAGAAAGTCATATTCACCTAGGATGCCTTGAGGGTGAGAAAAACATGGGCTAATTTTCATTTTTTGGGTGAACTAACCCTTTAATATGATTACTCTGATTCTTCCGAAGTCATTGATTCCCTCATGGTCATTGCATGAACAAGAACATGGTCAGCTAATGTTGCTAATATTTGATCAGAAACTAATGTTCTTTGCTCTTCCTCTTCCTCTTTGTCTCCCACTTCTTTTAGCTCTTTCACCATTAATAGGGTCCACAGCACATAATCACCATAATCATAAAAATAGTTTTGCAGAAAACAGTGAGAAAATTGAAGACCAGCTGAACCAGTTACTGTGTGTTAGCAAAACTCTTCATAATTGAGGCACTTCAATGAAAAAAAAGGCATGCTTTATTTCATTCCTTTCATTTCACAGATGCTATTGGATGGGGCTGTGTGACTGTATTTCTGCAGATACTGTGGACGGTTATGAAGTTTACAGGCTATTATGGCTTTATTGCTCAGGGTACAGTATTAATCATCTACTTTGATCACTCCGTCAGTACATGTACAGTTAATTATAGTAAACAATGCAGTACTGATAATATTAGGCAGATTTGTGTGTTTCTTTAAAAGAGAGTCAATTTTGGGGGAAAAAAACAGTCCCGTGTCTTGTTTTAATTTTAGTTTTTGTCAATTTAATTCCAGATGTGACCTGATCGATCTCATTAGTGCAGTAATTATCAGATCATACATCATAGTTTCACACTGTAACATGATAAAATATGATAAATTGATATAAACACAGTACTTTAAAGCAATTTGTGTCGTATGAGCTGTTGAAGAGTGAAGGGCTGGAATCAATCATAAATGAAATACTTAAATCAAGCAAACAAATAATTTTATGTATCTTGTAGAATTTTTTTTTTCTTCGTTTTTTGTGCATGTTTATAGTTGTTTTCAATGTGGCCTAATTTTATCTAAATGAATACACTTCTTAAAATATTATTCGATTTTTAAACATTTTTGTGTATCTCAAGGTAGACTGATGCAGTAGTTTTGTTCATGTTTAATGTCTAAAATTGCATTACAGATTTTCCTCGTGTTGTCACTGTGTATGTGTTTGGATCAGTTGGTGTTGTTTTACTGAATTCTTTTACACTGATGACTGAACTGATACTGAAAACAGGTGAGTGAATGTCATATACTTTTTTTAAACAATATGTGATACAGTTTGAGAGAAATATTTCAGCATTCACAAAGTTTATAGCAAATATGTACTTTAAATATGAATTGATTATGAATTAAATTAATCTGTATTTACCTGTAATAATTACTGTGCTAAAATACTGTTAACATTGCATTCATTTCTCGTAAAACGGTGATGATAATATTAAAAAAAAATGTTATCCACATTTATTTTTTGTCAGTTAATGGCGCTCGTACAGTGGGAGATCTGAGGTCTGTTGTCTTTCCTTCTGAATGTTTCTTTGTCATTTCTGTGATGATTTCAGGAATATTTCCATCTGGTGAGTATAAATCATAATTGTTTCAATTACAAAACATTACATTACATTTACATCATATGAGCTGGTGTTTCTTTATTTTACATCTCTGAATCATTTGTCTCAATCTCCATTCAGTAAGTAAGTAAGTAAATAAAAAATAAATATAAAAACACTGTTAAAGTGTTTAAAGTCTGATTCAATCATTTATTTACCACATATTGTGGTGTGTGTTTCTGAACACACTCATTAATCTCCTAATAATCTGCAATGTCTGTCACAACACTTAAAAATTCCTCTAGACCCTTTTAATGCTAAAATCCTAAAAGCATCTGATGAGTGTCAATGAGAACTGCTCACAGTGAACATGAATGAATCTTTATATTTATTGACTCCCTGGTTCATTCAGATAATTGATTGGACTATATCAGGGATCTTTCAATGTCAGCAAATAAACTCAAAGGTTTCAAATTGAAATGGTTGAGATGTTTTACAGTGTGTTGCACTTGAAAAGAAAAAAAAACATAAAAAGGAATTACTAATAAATCATTCAAAAAAGGTCCACGTGACAGCAGTTAAGCTATTGAAACCATTTAAGATCTTGGTGAATAAGTAGTTATTTAATTGATCTTTTAGCAGACAATGACTAGAGTCAACAGATCCACTAATATTTACTCTCTCTCTCTGACCTCACAGGCATCATACAATGCGTGCAGGTTAGTATCATTTATAAACTGCATTGATTTGAGATTAAAACTGACATGCAACATCAGGAGACTTTTACTTATATTACAAGATTCTCCAAAAGCATGAGGATGTTATATAAATATTATTTAAATTGCATATCTTGCCCTAAATGCAGAACATAGTGAAGTCTAGACAAACTCCAGCTGACAGATCACAGATCGACTGAAGATCAGGAGAAAAGTCAGCCTGATTCAATAGTCAGACTGTAATCAGCATGATTTTCTGCAAAAGTGCTTTGGAACAACGTGGATTGTAAAAAGCACTATAAAAATAAATATACAGTCACTGCTCAAAATGTCATGTGTTTCAACACTGATCAAGCTGCGACTGGTATAATGATGTTATTCATTGTTAATGGTTTTGCACTGTGAGCTCTGTGTTTTATACTGTGTTTTGTACTTGTTTTTTTTTTTTTAAATAGAAGTAAATATGTAGTACATAGTAGTATGTACTACTACTTTTTAACTCTACATATGTAATGTTAATTTGTTAGTTTTTTAAAACTAATTGTAGCTGTAATACTTCAGTAGTAAAGTTCAGTATTCATCTGTATGTTGTGCTGATGTAGAGCTCAGATGTGGTTTCTTGAGTGTTTTGTCTGATTAGAGAGCAGTTGTACAGTGTTGAGGCCAATGTTTCCTCAGCTCTGTGTTCATGTAGTAATAGATCCATGTGATGAAGGGAAACACAGTGATTCCCACAGCAATGCAAATCTTGACTGAACCAACAGCTCTCCAAAAAAAAAAAAAATCCATAGACAGTTGCATAGATATGTAGGGGAGAGTGGGGCACAACTTGACAATTTTTGACTTTCTTAGTATTTCTTTATTTCCACATTAATTAAATAAATGTCTAGTACAAATATGTGCTCTTGTTTAATTAATACCATGTATGCTTTTTTTACCCCGAAAGAATGGAATTGAAATGTGGCAACATGACCGATAAAATGGGGCACGTTGTAACATGACCATATAACAGCAGGAAATATTACATGATCTAATAAAAATTATTTAAAAAGTGTAAGACAAACTAAAAAATACATTTATTCATAAATTCTGAACATTCAGGTGTTCATTCACCTGTTTATCATGGTTTCCTAATAGATTTAATAATAATTATATATGTGAATTAAATCACTAATGTCATAGAATAACATAATCTAATAGTTCTAGTACAACGTTCCCCTCCTGTGATTTAAACCTGGCTAGTGTCTTCTGCTAGATAATCATTAAATAACTATCTAACCTTTTAAGGTCCCACTGTAGTCAACATTTTTGCCCTTCAGTCTCATCTTTGATCATCAAAATGACAACGAAGAAGGCTAAACTGAAAGAGAATAAAAGCAAAGACACTTCGAATACAAGCGAAGACGGAGGCCTGGCAGAATGGAGTGGCACTGGAAGGAGTGAGGGCCAAGGCAGAACCAGAGGGAAGGAGGATGCCGGTGGAGCCAAAGGGGTGGAGGGCGGCACAGCTTGGAAGTATGTGGCAAAACCAGGGTGACAAGAGACCAGGGTGGAGCCGGAGGGACGAGGGAGCCTTATGCCGAGTTCACACTGCACGATTTTAGCCCGATTTTTCACTCGCCGACAGGTTTTGTGAAATCGCCGACAAATGCCCGAAATCGGAGGCAAATCGGTGTTCGTTCACGCGAGTGACAATCACGCAGTGTGAATTATCAAAGACGCGATCTGAGGGAATCACCGACACGTTGCAGACACCCGCGAAATATTTGGCATGCTAAATATCTAGAGCTGTCGGCGATTCACAATCTCGCTGTGTGCAATGGTTTCTGACTGAAAACTACATCGGCGATGACCTACAGCCAATGAGAGACCAAGATACAGGGCAGAGGGAAGTTCGGGGAGGAGTTATAGACCAGAATATCAGTATTTTAATAGATATATGAACAATTATATCATACAGAAACAAGCACAAACATTTGCTTGACCAGCCACAACATCAGCATAACAGTTACTGCAAAATTATTTACCTCCAACTCTCTTTGCAGAACACCCAATCCCTGTTCCCTGCATCTCCCTCCTGCATAATCAGTTTTTCTTTTTCTCCTTGTAGCTGGAAATCAGCTCACAGACAATTTGCGGGCTATATATATATATTTT